ATATATAAATCATGCTCAATAACCACCCCCACCCCCCAATCCCTCCCTCAACCGTATCATTCACCGAAGAACAAGCCAGCAAACTTATCTCTTCATCAGATCGTGTACCTTTGCATATCTTGAACTGCATATTGAAAAATATGTTGGGTTTAAAAAATTGTTTCTTTAAGTGTGAAATGCGAGCATATTCTTACACGAGCTTTCCAAATGATCTAAATGTGTCAATTGGGGGTATAAAAACATCTGCATTTTTTAAAAAGAAAAGAATATACACGAATTTGGAACCTCAAATCGGGTTATGATGAGGTGCCACAGGGAACGCCATCCAATTAGTACGACTTTTTTGTTCCTTAAGTACAATAGCTGTGTGGTCCACGTTTCACCCCCCCCCCCAACTCCTCCTCCCCAACGCCCCCTCCCCAGTGTGATTTGTACGAACATTAACCTCAGGCATAATGATATCTGTTCCGTGTGTGATGGAAATTACAGGAACTAGAGGTGGGTGGGCAAAATCCGGATAATCTACAAGGATAACCGGATAAATCTCAATGAAACATTATCCGAATTCAGACTCGTAACTCTCTTTCCTGACCTGCTTGCCGAAGTGGGTGCACCCTAAACCATTTGCTGAAGTGGTTCATATCATATCATTTTCCGAAGAGGTGCACTAACATAGTATCCGGATTTGGCCAAAGCGACTCATTGCCCAGCCCTAACAGGAACGCCATAGTAGCACAAACGTATGGTCAAATGCTGTTGTTTTTCCCCTGCCGACTGCCAAAGCTATAGGGGATGATAATTGAGTACGAGTACACAATGCATGAGGAAAGACTTATCCTAACCACTGCTCCCAATAACATAACAAACATAATAAAAGGACATTTGCTGAAATGTTTGACTTCCCTCCTTGCTACATAATATAGAGACGTAGGCAAGAAATCGGGAATATAAAATGTTTAAAATTTGTTTTATTGAATCGGCTCGACGTTTCGCCACGTAGGCTTCCTCAGAAGCAGCTCACCATCTTCGTCATCATCATCATCATCATCATCATCATCATCATCATCATCATCATCATCATTATCATCCCTTCAATTTACTCGCTCTCCTTC